CCGCGGGCTCAGGCAATCCACTCACCTCGGCCTCCCAAAGCGCGGGATTACAGGCTGAGCCACCGAGCCCGGCCGACAATGTTCTTGATAAAGCTGCTTTGGCCGGGCGCAGTGGCTCATGCTTGTCATCTCAGCACTTGGGGAGGCCGAGGCGGGAGGCTGCTTTCTGCCCAGGGGTTCAAGACCAGCCTGGGCAACATAGCAAGACCCCCATCTCCATAAAAAATTCAAAAATTAGCCATGCGTGGTGGTGCAGGCCTGTAGTCCCAGCTACATGGGAGGCTGAGGTGGAAGGTCAAGGCTGCTGTGAGGTGTGATCACGCCACTGCACCGCAGCCTGGCCAAGCAGAGTGAGACCCTGATTCAGAAAAAAAAAAAAGGCAACATTCTCTGCCTGGGCTGATGCGGGCGTGGATCTCCCTGGGCTAGGGTCAAAGGGTCGGCAGGGCTTTTTGTTTCTGGAATTTCCGGGGAGAATCCACGTCCCTGCCTATTCCAGCCTCTTGAAACCATCCTAGTCCTTGGCGTGTGACTCCTGGCACCGTCTCCAAAGCCAGCCACTGTGGGTCAGTCCTTTGATGGCGTCTCTGCCCCTCCCCTCAGCCTCCACCTTTAAGGACTGGTGTGACCAGACGGGCCCACCTAGATAGAACATCCAGGCCAGGTCATTGCCCTTTGCTGTTAAGGGAGCGTATTCATAGGTTCTGGGGATTTGGACGAGGGCATCTGTGCAGGGAGCCTTCCTTCTCCCTGACACAGATGGTAAAAAGTGAACATCGTGACTCTTTACCGAGACGGAGCGTCTGCAGGTCAGAGGAGGAAGGCGTGCCGAGGCTGCCACGGCGTGGGGAGTCCTGTTGGGTTCTGTTTGCCCTTGGACGTTCGAAGGTCGTGGCATTAGCAATGTCTTTGTCATGAACTTCGATTATGGTGGTATGATTTGCACAGGGTGAAGCGCACAGATCAGAAGGAGAATTCAGTGCATTTTGAGACCTGTGTGCACCTGTGTCTCCAACTGCAGCAAGATGTTTTCCTCACCCTGGAATGATGATCTCCTGGCATTTTCCCAGCCATCCGCCTCCCGCCCCCAGCAGGAGCAGGCTTGGTTCCAATTTCTGTTGTAATCCAGCTGTGCCTGCTGTCGGTCCTCCTGCAGGCGGGAGTCCACCCTGTGCTCCGGGGCCTGACCTCTGTCACTCAGCCTGATGCCTGTGACATCAGCCATGCTATTGTGAGCATTCGGTCGTTCATGAATTGTTCTGGCTGGGCATGCTCCTGTTATAGTGATGCCATAGTTTGTTTGTTTTCCTGGTGATGGACGTGGCGATGGCGTCTTGCTTTTGGCCAGTACGAACAAAGGTGCCAGGAAGTTTTGGCACAAATCTTTCTGGGGATACATGAGTCTTTCTGCTGAGTTCTATGATATGAATGTTATAAAAAACTGCCAGCTGGGCATAATAGCCCATGCCTGTAATCCTAGCACTTTGGTAGGCCCAGACAAGAGGATCACTTGAGGCCAGGAGTTGGAGACCAATCTGGACAACATAGTGAGACCCCATATCTACAAAAAAAATTAGCTGGGCATGGTGGTGTGTGCCTGTAGTCCCAGCTACTTGAAAGGTTGAGGCGGGAAGATTGCTTGAGCCCAGGAGGTCAAGGCTACAGTGAACAGCCTGGGAGACGTAGTGAGACCCTGCCTCTATTAAAGGGGAAAAGAAAAAAAAAGAAAACGAGAAATTACCACACCACTGTTCAACCTCGTGTCGCACTGGATGCTCACACAAGCTGTGTATGAGCGTTCTAGTTGCTCCACTGTGTCATCAGCATTTGGTGATATCGGTCTCTTTCATTTCAGCCACGCTAATAAGTGTGAAGTGGCATCTTGTTGTGGGTGTAATTCTCATTTTCCTGATGCTGATGATGAAGCACCTTTTCATAGGTCCATTTGCCATGTGCATCTTGTCCCTAAGTCTTTTGTCCATTTCAATTGGGATATCAATCTTTCCCTTATTGGTTTGTTGGAGTTCTTTATGTATTCTGTTTATCAGCTTTTTTGTCAGATATATGTTGCAAATGTTTTTTCAGTGTGTGACTTGCCTCTTCTAATTATAATTGTCCCTCAGTATATGTGGGGGATTGATTCTAGGACATTCCCCTCCCCCCGAGTACCAAACCCATGCCTACTGAAGTCCCATCATCAGCTCTGTGGAACCGCATCATGAAAGGCCAACCCTCTCTGCGTGCATGTTTTACATCCTGTAAAAACCATTTTATCTCTCTGCATTTGTTTGAAAACATCTGCAGGTAAGTGCAGACCTGTGTTGTTCAAGGATCAATGTGTCTTTTAATGGGTAGAAGGGGTTTTGGGTAACATTTGACATAGTGTCCAATTTATCCATTCTCTTCATTCAGGTTAGTGCTTTTTGTAGGTTTTTTGGTGTTGAAAATTAGCTGGCCTTGAATATATATAGAATCCAGGAGGGGGTACGTGATATGTTTTTAATATTTCCACCAGCAAGCTCCTTCTATACAAAGTCAGCCCTGCTTAGGTAGTAAATCCCACTTATGAGCGGTCAACGAAACAGGCTCATGATTCAAGGAATGAACAGCCCAACGAAGAAGGGGTCACCTGGGGTCCTTTGTGCTTTGAACAGAACCCACTGAAGTCTCATCCCCTAATGATAGTCATTAGAGGCTGGGACAACTAACAGCAAAATAGAATGGTGGCCCTGGCTGGTTGGTTGGTTGGTCGGTCAGTTGGTCAGTTGGTTGGTTGGTTGGTCAGTTGATTGGTTGGTCGGTTGGTCCGTTAGTTGGTTGGTCAGTCAGTTGGTTGGTTGGTCAGTCAATTGGTCAGTTGGTTAGTTCGTTAAGTTATACAAGTTTGGCTCAGTTCATGAATAGCTTGGCGGTTATAGCTTTAACATGTGATGAGCATACACT